TCCCAACTCCTAGACTATGTGGTGTAACTCTGAGGGGTTTGTATTGGGCCCTAACTTTTTTCTCTGGCTCCTTGAAGTTAGGAATCCACTGCATTGGGGGTTCAGGGTGCTCCTGGACTGCTGGTCACTACACCCCAATGGGTGGTGTCAGCCAAAGCGTTTCATAGTGCGATGACAGTGGGATTCATCCTTGCTTGCATGTGCCGGCAGCAGTGGTAGCAGCAGTGCAGTGGGGGACACACTGGTCAGCTATGGCAGGGTTCTAGTGGGTGCCAGGGTGCTTGCCTCCCTGAAGGTGTTCACCACAGTAGAGGAGGGAACACAGCTGGAAGGTGAGCGGGGGCCCCTGCTGGCAACTGCACAGTGGCACTGGTGGTGGTGTTGGCTTGGGGGCAGGGCACTGGCGGTTGCAGGTCTGTGTGCCTTCTCTGTGTACTGCAAACAGGAGTGGTTGCTCTGTGCAGGGGAGGATCTGCTATTCTCTGTGCCTAGTTTCACTCCTGCGGCAGTGTTGATGCAAGAAAGGGGCACTGGCAGAGGCGAGACTGGCTGGTTTTGTGCCCACCAAGGTTGTGTCTGCAGTGGTGGTCAGTGGGGACATGGGGGATGAACTGCACTCCCGCCACAGCAGTGGCAAGGTGGATACATGTACACTTGCCTGTTGGTGGGGCAAGAAAAGCAAAACCTGCTGGCATAGGCACATGCCAGCAAAGCCATGTGGGGAGTTGCTGTGGGCCCAGAGAAGCTGCAGTATGGGGACAGAATGTACAGGTTGGTGCATAGCCATGGGGGCCACTCCTCTGGAGCTCTCTGCTGGTCAGGCATAGTCTGCTAGCACAGAAGCTATGATGCAGTCCCCCAGGCCACCCAAGGCTGCCCTGTAAGCATGTGTGGCCACACTGGGGCCCTGGGAGAGGCCGCCAGCAGGCCAAGGGGTGTTCAGGTGAGACTGGCCCCATATGATGGGCAAGACCACTCTGCACAGTTCGGGTCCAACAGTTGCCTTAGAGCTAAAGTCTCCTATGGGAGCCAGTTAAGCCTAAGGGGATGGCTATCCCTGGCCATGCCCCACCACCCCACCACAGATACTCCCGCACCAAACTCTCTGGGCTCCATATCAGCTGGCTTGCTGCTCCTATCATTGTTCTAAGTGGCTCACCCTGTCAACTTGAGTGTTCATGGTGGTCAAGGGGTCCCCTCCTGCTAGGGTTCCAGAGGCCCGTGGGAAAAGGGGGTTGCTTCTTGCTAGTTCAGCTCATCTGTTTTTCCAGAGTTGTTTGGGCCAGCAATGAGTCCAGGTGCCTAGTAGTCACCTCGTGTACAGTTCCCAGCTTCCTCCCCCTTCATCTCAGCTTCTGTGTCTTCTCTCCATCCACTCTCAGTGACCGCCTCTGAAGATCTGTTAGGAGCACACCAGTTGTCTCAGTCCCTCATTGGCAGCTTTTCCTCCTGGCTGTGTCTAGTCAGCCATCTTGTCCTCCCCCTGCTTTTTTTTTTTTTTTTTTTTCTCCCTCTTTGTCTTCAATTTTTAAAAACCTTGGTCAAAGAACTATTTAGGCTAAGTTTGAGAACTCCCTAGTCAGTTCCCATGCTGTCAGCGGACCTTATGAAATCATTTAAAGTTTTTATGATTCTGCAGGTGTGTCTTGTCTAACATGTGATAGAGGGCCAAAAGGCCACACTACTGAAAATTTAAGGAAGGGTGTGTGTGTGGGTGCGGGTGTGGTGTTTTGAGGGTTGACTTTTCTCTTGGTTGTGGTATGTTAGGAGTAATGGCTATTACATACTGATGTGCTTGATGTGCTTTGTCTTTACGGGTTATAGCAGTGTAGACACGAGTCTACTTTTGGGATAATCTGTTTCCCTTTTTCTTCTGTCTTTGCTAAAAGCTATTGCTCATTTCTACTGATCATTGTAGTTACCCCTTCTACCTACCATACTTTCTAATTTTGCATCTTCTGGTGGATTGTGGGCTAGGAAATATGAATAGTTAAGACTGTTCAACTTGTTTTAATCAACTTGTTTTAATCAAATAGATGAGTCCTGATGATCTTTATCAAAGCAAAATAGGTAGACTTAGGGTCAGCCTCTTGTCTTTTCTTTTTTAAAATGTTCTTTTCTTGCTGGTAAAAGCAGTAGCCATTGGAGAAATTTTAGAAAAGACAAACTATGAAGCAAAAAATAATCATAATACCTTGAATCAGAGTTAATCTGTATTAACATTTGGTGTATTTCCTTTAAGCTATGTAAGTAAACTTCAGTAAAAATCCTTCCCAAAATTGGGATTTTAGTATAGTATACTTTTTATATCCATATGTTTTTTAAGTGGTAAGCATTTTGCATGTTAACTGTTTTAATACAGCTTAATGTTTGCATATTTTATTATGTACTTTCATTCATTATATTCGTTCACAATTTATTTATAAACATTTAGATTTTTTCCAGTTTGTCCAGTTTTTATAAAAGAACAAATCCCTATTGACAATTTCTGTGTTTTTTTTTGAAACTGAGTCTCACTCAGGTTGGAGTGCAGTGATGCCGTCTCGGCTCACTGCAACCTCCATCTTCCGGGTTCGAGCGATTCTTGTGCCACAGCCTCCCGAGTGGCTGGGATTTCTGGCACCTGCCACCAGGTCTAGCGAATTTTTTGTATTTTTAGTAGAGATGGGGTTTTGCCGTGTTGGCCAGGCTGGTCTCAAACTCCTGACCTCAAGTGATCTGCCTGCCTTGGCCTCCCAAAGTGCTGGGATTACAGGCATGAGCCAACATGCCCAGTCCCGACAAATTCTTAACATCTACATTTATTTTCTTCTTTTCCTTTTTTGTAGAGACAGGGTCTCACCATGTTGCCCAGGCTGGTCTTGAACTCCTGGGCTCAAGTCATCCTTCTGCCTCTGCCTCCCAAAGTGCTGAAATTATAGATGGGAGCTGCTCTACCTGGCTCTACATTTATTTATTTATTTATTTATTTATTTATTTATTTATTTATTTATTTTGAGATGGAGTCTCGCTGTGTCTCCCAGGCTGGAGTGCTGTGGCGTGATCTCGGCTCACTGCAAGCTCCGCCTCCTGGGTTCACGCCATTCTCCCGCCTCAGCCTCCCAAGTAGCTGGGACTACAGGCACCCGCCACCACGCCCAGCTAGTTTTTTGTATTTTTAGTAGAGACGGGGTTTCACCATGTTAGCCAGGATAGTCTCGATCTCCTGACCTCGTGATCCACCCGCCTCGGCCTCCCAAAGTGCTGGGATTACAGGCTTGAGCCACCGTGCCTGGCCTACATTTATTTTTTTTTTTACATGAATTTCTAAAAGTAGTGTTTACTAAGTCAAGGTTAAGAATATTTATGAGTGTTTTAATATACACTCCCACATTGCTTTCTGGAAGTCATGTGCTTTGTATTTCAACACTTTATGGGTCTTTGATTCCAAATAACTTACCCACACAAGTCTTATTTTATAAGATCTTTCCTAATTTGATAGATGTAAAATGCCGTTGGATGTTTTCCTCTGATTACTAGTGAAATTAAGTCTTTTTTCATGTTTATTGGACATTTATATTTTTGTGGGAATCATTCTTGTCCTTGAGTTATTTTTCTGTTGAGAGCTTAATACTTTTTACAAATTCGTAAGAGTTTTTTGTATACTAAAAGTTAAAAGCCCTTTGATTTTTTGTAAATATTTTTCTGTTTATTTACCTTTTAATTTTGTTAATTGGATTTTTTTAAAATAGAAGTTTTACATGGTTAAATGTATCATTTTAAAATTACTTTTTCATTAGTTTTAAGCTCAGAAAGTTTCCTTTCATCCAGAAATTCAGTTACATCATTCACTTACATCTTTTTTTAAAAAACTAGACTTTTCCATTTTATTGCCTGTATTTACCCATTCTTCCAGTTTGAACTTTAGAATGACTTTTTCAAGTTCTCTTACAAAAATAAATTCCACTATAATTTTTTATTGGAATTGCATTAACTCCTCATTCTTATAAGTAGTTTATTTCTAGTACTTTTAAGAAACTTACTGTTCTAGATGGTGTTTATTTACTCCCTCCTGTTCCCTGTCTTCCCTCTCCCTTCCTACTTATCAGTCGATGAAATTCTAGCTGGTTATTAAAAGAATTACTTCTGGATACTTGTGGAGGTGAAGGCTTGGCAGAAAATAGATGTCTTTGGTATCAAATCATTGAAAAGTGGGTTAGGATAACTTCCTTACCATGGTTGGTGGAACTTGTTTCTCTGAAGTTGGGCAAATGGTAAAGCAGGCACAGGCCTCGTTTTTTTTCCCTGTCTGACATTACTATTCTGTACTTTATTGTAGAGAAATTATTCTTAAAGTCTTCTAGATTTTTTATGAAGTATTGTTGGTTTCCAGGGCTCTCAAAACTTTATATTTCTTATTTTCATGAGATTTTTTTTTTTATGAAAAGGGTTGAGTAGAATAATCAGACAGAGAGAGACAGTTTCGGCTGGGTGCGCTGGCTCACACCTGTAATCCCAGCACTTTGGGAGGCCGAGGCAGGTGGATCACGAGGTCAGGAGTTCAAGACCAGCCTGGCCAAGATGGGGAAACCCCGTCTCTACTAAAAATACAAAAATGTGCCAGGTGTGGTGGCATGCACCTGTAATCCCAGCTACTCGGGAGACTGAGACAGAGAATTGTTTAAACTTGGGAGGCAGAGGTTGCAGTGAGCCGAGATTGTGCTACCGCACTCCAGCCTGGGTGACAGAGCGAGACTCCATCTCAAAAAGAACAAAAAATAAAGAAAGAGTTTTCATCTAAACCTAGAAATTCTAAAAACTAGTTGTTTGTTTACTATTTTTTGGCAATGTTAAGAATTATTAAATAACTAGGTATTTGACTTCTTAAGAAGTGGGGTAACCATATATATGCATTTGAGAACTTGAATTTACAAATAAATACAGAGATTATTTTATATTTTTATACCTCAGGGATGTTGTTTCAATGCTAATGAAAAATACTACCACTTTTTTGCTTTTAGGTTGGAATGTTGCATCAGCAGGTAGAAGAACATGAAAAAATCAAGCAAGAGATGACCATGGAGTATAAGCAGGAGTTGAAGAAACTACATGAAGAAGTGAGATTTTAGTTTTGTTAAATGTCGTATATGTAGTTCTCTCTCTTTCACCCTTGAGAACTTTGTTAACGAAAGCCACTTTCTACTTTGTGAAGTGGGAAATATATAGTGCATGGAAGATACAGGAGTGGGAATCCATTTCTCTGTTCTTTAATCCAGGTAAAGAGGTTTGCCTAATTGTAGGTTTGATGCTACCTAGAAGAGATGCTAAAATATGTTTCTTGGTTGAGTACCTGAAAGAAGTTAGGGCTGTTTTTGTGTAATACTGTGAAATACTTGATACCAAAAATTACATTTAATATTTTAATTTTTATCAGTTACTAGATTATAAACAATGGAGGATCCAAAATTTAAGAAGCATTTTGGGATAAATAAGTAAGAAAATTCTGTCCATTAACTCAATTTTATTCTTCAGATTTGGAAAAAACTGCTTTTATTCTGATTTAATTGCAAAGTATTCTTCTCCTGCATCCTAAATATCAGTGCTCTGCAAGAGCATAGCTTTGAGAATCACAGACCTGGAGGAAAGAAAAAGAGTTTTAATTTGCTGCTTTTATTGTGGGGCTAGGTGGTAGGGTCTTTAAGTGCAAGGCTATTGTAATAAAAAACTTTTGTTTAAAATTTTTAAAAAATTTTTTCTTTGAATGTATTTCTTTACTAATGTTTGTTTTACATATTTAATTTTTAGTTTCCTTTTGTGTTTTAGTTTGGAAATCTAACATGTTCTCAGTAATACTGGTTAGCACTGCTCTTGTTTTCATAATACAAATTTTTCTCACCAGTACTCTTTTCAAATTCTTAAACTTTAAGTATAGAAATAACTGTTTCTACAGTTAGGCATACTGAAGAGAAGCTACGAAAAGCTTCAGAAAAAGCAAATGAGGGAATTCAGAGGAAATACCAAAAATCACAGGGAAGATCGGTCTGAAATTGAGAGGTTAACTGCAAAAATAGAGGTATGTTCATAGTAATAATTTGTTCATAGTGATTGTCAGCCTTCATGTAGGAAAATGCTGTTTCTAATGGCACTATTTTCTTTTTTTTTTTTAATGGCACTATTTTCTGAAACCAATTTTCTACCATCTTTAGGACTGCCACTAAGCTATTTCAAAGGTGAGAGGGTGATCCACCATACATCCTATCATCATCTGGTTCCCTATGGTTAACAGGATTACTGGCCATCAATAATTCTCAACAGGGCACTACCACCCTTGGGGAGCATTTGCAAATGTATGGAGGCCTTTTTTTTTTTTTTTTGGTTGTCAAAATGACTGAGCATAATAAAACTGGCATTTAGGGGACAGGGACCAGGGATACTAAATATGCCTAAGATTGTTCCACACAGGAAGGATTATTGTACCTCAAATGCCAGTATCTCTCCCATTGGGAAACATTGACCACTAGTTACAGACAGTCCTCTGTGGGCATTGTTTTTGTCTTATATATCATTGTATCTCAAGCACCTAATAAAGTGGGGGCTTAGTAAATGTGGAAAGTACATAGCACTTTTTGTACAAAGTAATCTCTGTATCAGATTATTCTCAATTCCCATTTAGATGTAGTAAGGCATTCACTTCCTTCTCTGCTGACTTTGTTTTTATTAAGACTGAATAACTCCATGATTGTTGTATATATTGAGAACTTAAGGGGAGGTGGTGAGCTAATAGTACCAAGAGTAGATGAAGGAGCAGCACAAAGTTGTCACTCTCTTCCTTTGTCCTTGCCATTAGTTTTTCAGTGGACATAAGAATTCCCAGGGTGCTTTTAGGCTCTCAGAAATGGTGATCCAGCAGTATGGCATAGGACCTAGGATGGCATAGGACCTACAATCTGCATTGTATCCAGCTCCCCTAGCTTATTCTGATTTGAGAAACATTGTTCAACATCTTTGTGTGATCACTTATAAGTTTTTACTCTCAGTGACTTGTCACCCACAAATGCCAGTATATTATTGTTACTTAAAATTATAATTTCTGTGTTTAATATTCCTTTATATCTCAAATTTTTTTTACATTTGAAGAGCTTAGAATCAGAAGACTGCAGATACTACTTCCCTTCCACCCTTTTCAGCAATACCTTTTCCCCCCAAACCCTATATCCTTCTTGCTTCACATTGCCACTTCCTGACTATTTTCTTTCCTTGCTACCTCAAAAACCCCATCTTTGATTTTCATGTTACCAGCCTATGCTGCCAGCCAATGTACATAACAACCAAAGTAGTCATCTTCTGATCTCTGGGTTATTTCCTTGGCTCATTGATTTCAGCACCCAGCTCACTGTCAGTTCTCTCCCACATTACTCTTACCATAACTTTGAGGATCTCAGGATCTGGAGGGATGATGCTTATAATACTCTGACCTTACAGTTTCTTGTCTTTCTTTCCTCCATAGATGGTTTGATTATGTCTCTGTCTCATCTACTTATTCCCATTGCCATTCCTCAGCTCTTGTCATTACCAATATATGCCACCCCTCTAGAATCTCATTTTCAAGCATTTAATTATCAGACTACCAATCCCTATCTTTTCAGCTAACTCTCTCTAGTCCTTTGCCTCTCAGTAATCATTATCCATCCCTTAAAATGATTGAATTCTGCCGCCTTTTTACTGCTCCATTATCTACTTAGTGTTCTCACTTATTGGTCTTTAGCCAGCTTTTAAATTCTGTGATTACATTTTTAACTTTCCCTTTCATCTCGTGTGCTCCTCTCTTGCTTCCTCATATTTGCTTGGCAGAATCACAGATCTGCTTAAGGCCACCTTTCTGCCCACTCTCTACCTGTCATGTATCGCTGAACATGGCTGGAGAAAACCCTAACTATACTGTCTGATCTCACTTTAAATTCATGGTCCCTAACCTCAAATGGGTCCTAATGCTACCTGGAATCGTACTGTATTTCCTCTCATCTCCTACTTTCCACAATGAGTATTTCAGACTTCTGCTTTTCTCCTCAAACTCTCAACACCTATCCCCACATCCTCACCTTTGGGTTATATCTTTATAACCCAAAGATATATAGACTTCCAGCTCTGTGTATAGACTTCCAGCTCTGTGTCCACCCACCTATCTGCATCTGTGCCCATGTACCCTGCCTTCTTTCCTGGAGGAACTACCCATGCCCTCCCCCTTTTCTACCCAAGGCATTACTCTAGTAGTTCAACTTCTCTTTTCTGCACCATTAATTTTTTCTCTCTACTGGATATTTTTTACCAGCATCCAAATTTCCTTCCTCTTAAATATCCCCTCTTGACCTGTCTCTTCCTCCTCTGCCCCATTTTATTTCTTTCATTTTATAACTAAAAAATTACCTCTGTTATCTATACTTGTCTCCAGTTCCTCTTGTCTCATTTTTCTTATACCCACTCAAGGCTTTTGTCCCCTCACACTGCAGAAGCTGTTCACATAGAGGTCACCAGTGACTTACACATTCCCAGAGCCTGTGGGCTGGTCCTCATCTTCCTCATCCTACCTACAGCTTTGTAGGAGAGCTGGTCTCTCCCACCTCCTTACCCTCTTTCTTGACTTGGCTTGAGAAAAACCACATTTCTCTCATTTTTCTCCTTGTTCATCACTCCTCAGTCTCCGTTACTCCTTAACCTAGGATCATGTCATTGGACCTTTCCTTTTTTTTTTTTTCCTGTCTACGCTCACTCCCCTATTGGTCCCATTGAATTTCATAGCTTTAACACTGTGTATATGTTGACAATTCAAAATTTATATATCTAGCCGAGACCTTGCCTCTTCATGACAGAATAACTTTCAACTGCCTGTTTCCTATCTCCACTATGATGTGTGAAATGTGTCAGACTTAACATGTCCAAGCTAAAGGTCCTGTCTTTCTCTTCCTCATCTCCCCAACACTGATTCATGTTTTAGTTGATAGCAACTCAGTTTGCTCGACCTAAAAACCTCGGAGTCATCTTAGACTTCTCTTTTCTCAGCACAATAGCCAGAATGATTCTGCTGTAATGTAAATCAAATTATATCACTTCCTATACAAAAACCTTCCAGCAGCTTCAGGAAGGGGATCATCACACACCAGGTCCTATTGTGGGGAGCAGGGGGAGGAGAGATAGCATTAGGAGATATACCTAATGTAAATGATGAATTAATGGGTGCAGCACACCAACATGGCACATGTATACATATGTAACAAACCTGCACGTTGTGCACATGTTCCTTAGAACTTAAAGTATTAAAAAGAAAAAAAACCTAAGTTATCCTAATGGCCTACGTGGTCTCATTCTCATACCTTGTCTTCTCCTATTTTCGCTTTCATTCACTTTGTTCCAGCCACACTAGTCTCCTTTCTCACCCTTAAACACACCAGGATGCTCTTATTTCAAGGCTGTTCTTTCCACCCAGAATATTGTAACTTCACCCTCATCTCCCTAAGTGTTTACTTAAATGTTTTTCACTCAGTCTGGCCATCCCTTTTAAAAATTACAACCCCAACTCTGAAGACTTCATGCTCTGTTTTCTCCAAATCATGTATTACCGTCTGCTATACCATACAAGAAATGTGTCATCTGTTGCCCCCAGTTGAGTGGGACTAGGGTTTTTGTTTGTTTTGTTAAGTATTGTATCCCTGACACCAAAAGCAGTACCTGGCATATATAGTAGAATGATTGAATGAATGAATGAATGAATGAATGAATGAATGAATGAATATCAGAAATTTGGTTAACAACAGTTATCTTAAGGAGCCTGAGACTTCTGGAGTTGAGGATCCTGGAAGACAGTGATAGAAAGATTGAGTTTCCTTTCCCTTTAATTTGCCCCATTTTCATAAATATTGAAATCATTTTCTTGATCATGCAATTTGATGTTACTATTGATCCATCATTAATTTTGAACTGTTCGGCTTTGGGTTACAAATATCTGTTAAAATTTAGTACAGATTTTCTTTGTTATTCAAGCCTTTGCAGTTCCTCTGTTGAGATAATAAAAATTTGGACATCAAAGGATATTGTATTGTCTGAATCTACTTGGTTCTTGAGTTTTAGATACTGAGAAGTAAGATTTGGGTTACCAAAGGACTTATCTGAAAATTTAATCTGTTCAATTCCTGGGTCTGGATATCAAGAATTTGGATAGCGAGGGATATCTGTAATCATACTTTAAAATTTTAGTTATCTTAGCGTCAGTTTTCTGAAAATTCACTAGAAAATTATAACAACCCTTAGGTGGCAGCAAATCAATGAAAAACATCTGAATCCAGTGCTTAGCATCTGCGTTTCATACTCCTCACCATTAGGGTGTTAAATTTAGAAAGACAGATATCCAGAGGCACAGTATGTGAGGAATTTAGTGTTACTCTCTAGCTCTGTTAGCTAAGTGAGTAATGGGTCTCCTGCTGTGGAGAAAGGTGCCAGCGTACCCAGGGACATGGGGAGAAATTAAAGTAAAAGGGAGTCTGGGAAGTAGTGACAGTGAGGAGAAGCACTCAGAAATTAAGTACTCTAATTGCTTCCTCAGGAATTCCGTCAGAAATCGCTGGACTGGGAGAAGCAACGCTTGATTTATCAGCAACAGGTATCTTCACTGGAGGCACAAAGGAAGGCTCTGGCTGAACAATCAGAGATAATTCAGGTAGGCCTAAGACTTTTTAAAATAATGAGAAGCAGATAGGTTTTGATCAAGTTTGAACTACCTTAATGCAGTGTCCTGGTACCATTTAGCCTCTTTCAGCTTCTCTCCACGAACCCTGCTCTCTTTCTTGTTTAGGTAGCCTCTCCTCCTCAGCATCTAGACCCAGCTCCTCCTTCCCTCCTGCCCTCACACATGCGTGTATTCACTCTCCTGTCCAGGCTCATGTCTTTGTGCCGGCTTGCCGCTTTGCCTCCTTGCTTGTTTCTGACTTGCTCACCCACTCTCTGTCATTGTCTTGCTTACTGAGGCTCTATGCTTGCATCCATGTTCACTGTCCTCATCTTGGTCCCTGGCTTTGTCGCCCTCTCTTCCTCTCCTCTCTTTCTTCCTTACCACAATCCCATTCCTCCCTCTGTCTCCTTTTCCATGTCTTTCTGTCTCTTGTTAGGTCTCTCAGCTCTACTATAGTCCGTGCCTTGCACCATCCCTATGGTCACTGGGGTGTCTTGGCCGAGGTGCCTCAGCTGGGGAGCTTCAGTTTGTTTGCCCGTGCGGACAGATGTGGAGAGAGTCACATGGCAATGGTGTGCACACTAACTAAAAGTGGTGTCTTTGTGGTAACAAAAATACTTATTTTAGAACACTGATAGAAACGTTTCTCTTAATGGCTTAAGCAAAACCAAAAACCAGACACCTACTTTAGGAATATGTCTTGTAAGAACCTATTCAGCTCATTCCTTTTTCAGTTAGAATCAAGAACATAAAGGAAACTAAAAAAAGTTGCGATCATCTGTTATGTGCTAGACATTGACCCAGTGCTTCTAGACAATTTTTGTGTGTGTTCGCTGTTTAATATTATGATAATCTGTCAAGGTTGGTAGTTATCTTAGTTTTATAGAATGAGGCAACAGACTGGGTAAGTTGAAATAGCTAGAAGGGAGGTTTTTTTGTTTTTTGCTTTTTTTGGCTTTTTGGATTTTTTAAAATAATCTGCATTTATATGCTGTTTTAAGTCTCAATAATGCATTAACTTTCTGTTCGTCTCCCTGAAATATCAGCTGTCTGATAAACTACCGACAGTGGCTCTGCTGTGAGTAACTTCATTCAAAATGATAGGAAAAGTTCACAACAACTGCAAGGAAGAAATTTATTTTTTAGGCCACAGCAAGCTACGCAGCCAGACCAGTGAAATCATGAGATGTCTAGACCAGTTTTTTTATTTGAATGCCAAAGCACTATACAGACCTAATAACTATAAGGTATTGTTTTATATATAATACATGGTTTTTTTTTCTTAACAACAACAAAAAAATTTGTTGGTTTTCGTGAGATGAGGTCTCGCTACATTGCTCAGGCTGATCTCAAATTCCTGGGCTCCAGCTATCCTCCCATCTTGGCCTCCTAAGTGCTAGGATTACAGGTGTGAGCTACCACACTTGACCAAGATATTGTTATATTCTAGTTGTAGGGTTCAGATTGACAAAAAAACAAATTGAGTCTTAATTTTTACAGTTCTCAATTGTTTATCCATGGAGTATTATTGATTATAGAGTCTCTTTTCACATTACTGTTATTCTATTCCAAATTACTGTTGTGATTATTGACTCTACATGATAAAAACTTCATTGTTAGCAAAAATGGGATTTTTACTTACTGTAATTCAGCTACGGCTAGAGTAAGAAGTCTTTCAACAGCCAACATTTGTTTTCCTACTAAGGGTGTTTGAATTATTCTTCTGATAGTTTTGTTTAACCTAAAACTATCTGATTGTTTAATAAAAATGTTACCTATAAATGTATTTATCTTTCTCCCTTGGCAAACTAAATAAAATTAAATCTTTCAATGATTCAGTATATACCAGTGCTGTATGATCATCATTTTTTTAAACGTCTAAATAAACTTATCTATATCCATTAACGAGCATTAATAGTTGTCATCTTGTAAATCTTTATTTTAATTGTGGTAAAATACACATAAAATGTTCCACCTTAACCATTTTTAAATGTATAGTATAGTAGTGTTAACTATATGTACATTGTACAACAGATCTCTAGAACTTTTTTATCTTGTCAAACTGAAACTCTATACCATTCACTACTTCTTATTTTTGGGTGGAATATTACAGAGCAAATCATAGATATCGTCTTATTTCCAAACAAGTAAGGACTTAAAAAATAACTACAATATATCAGTATCACATTAATAGAATAATAACTTCTTAATATAACTTAATATCCAGTCTGTTCACATTTCCCCAGTTGTCCAAAAAACTATCTTTTTACAATCGGATGTTTGAGTCAGAATCCTGTCAAGGTTGATAGATTGCATTTGGTTGAAATGTGGGTCACCATTGAACAATAGCAGTGGAAAACCTGGGAGACTAAGTGGATATTAACCTACCCTTCATTTAAAAAAAATCTTTGTATAATTTTTTTCTTGTATGTTTTTAACATCTAAAAGTATAATTCAGAAACAACTTCTCATTCTTTGACATATATTTGCTTGAATTCATTTCTTTTAATAAGCTATTAAAATTACATAATACATGCTTATTTTAGAAAAATGAGAAAATGCGGATAAAATGAGAAATAAATAAATCACCCATAATTCTACCGTTTAGAGATTTACCATGAATAAAATTTTGGTATAAATTTCTTCTGACTTTGTGTATGCTTACATACAGTGTGCAATACATTCATGTACTTTTGGTAGGAAAAACCTATATGCACTGTGAATGGGAAGGGAGTGGTAGTTGCAAACTTTAAAAAATACTGACAGTAGCAAAGTGTTGATAATTTTTGAAGTTGTGTGATAGGGGTTCATCTTACTCTCTCTATATTTGTGTATGCTTGAAATTTTCCATGAAGTAATAACTTTAAAATATATAGAATGCTTACTATGTGATCAGATACTATGCTAAGCAGCTAAGCACTTCACAGCTTTAAAATTTTTCCTTTTTAAATACGATATGTCAACAAATTTGTAGTCATAATGATTACATAGAAGTCCACCCTATCGTCAAACGTATAACATTTGTAACCAGTCCCTTACTGTAGAACGTTTAGTTTTTTACTTTTCACTTTTGTAAATAGTGCTTAGATTAACATCCTTATATAAACATTTAGGAATATTTATTTTCTTAGGAAATGGACCTTGAATTGGATTTGCTGTATAAGAGTACATTCAAATATTTTAATATACATTGCCAAAGTTTTCTCCAATGATGGATTGATAGACTTTCTTTAGTAGTATGTGAGAATATCCATTTCCTCATATTTTCCCTACATTAAGCACTATTATTTCTTTTGACTTTCCCCACTTTTAGGCTTGCCTTTGCTAATCTTATAGGTGAAAAAAAATGATATCATTTTAATATATATTGTAATATGAGTGAGGTTGAGCACTTTTTTCGTCTGTTTATGGCCATCTTCATTTTTCATAAATTATTTGTGTCCTTTATTCGCCTTTCTTTTAGGATTTTTTTTTAAAATCTTATTTTATTTTCTTTTTTGAGACAGAGTCTCTGTTGTCCGGCCTGGAGTGCAGTGGCCTGATCTTGGCTGACTGCAACCTCTGCCTTGCGGGTTCAAGCAGTTCTCCTGCCTCAGACTCCTGAGTAGCTGGGATTACAGGTGCTCGCCACTACGCTCAGCTAATTTTTGTATTTTCAGTAGAGACGGGGTTTCACCTCGCTGACCAGGCTGGTCTTGAACTCCAGACCTCAAGTGATCTGCCCGTCTTGGCCTCCCAAAGTGTTAGCATCACACCCGGCCAGATGTTTATATTTTACTATTCTGAAAGAGCTCTTCATACACTTAAGTATGAAGTATAAGCCCTTTGCTATTATGTTACAGTTGTGTGTGTGTACTCAATTTACCTTAATTTTTTTATGGAAATACAATTGTTTTTTAAACAGTTAATTAGAATTACTTAATTCTATCAATTTTTTCTTCAGCGTTTCTATCTTTGATGTCATACTATAAAGTCTTACCTAAGTCAAATTTCTTCTAATGCTTTATCATTTCTTTTTAATGCATTTTATCTAAAAATTATTTTAGTGTAAAGTATTTGATAGGGATCTAAATTTGTTTTTTAAATGGTTATATAATTTACTGAGTATAACGTTTTCAGGAACAAAATGATTCTAAAATTCATATGGAATGATAAATGAATGATACTAGCCAACTTTTTTTTTTTTTTGAGGTGGATTTTCGCTCTTGTTGCCCAGGCTGGAGTGCAATGGCGCAATCTCGGCTCGCTGCAACCTCTGCCTCCCAGATTCAAACAATCCACCTCCTCAGCATCCCAAGTAGCTAGGATTACAGGCATGCACCACCATGCCCAGCTGATTTTGTGTTTTTAGTAGAGACGGGGTTTTACTATCCTAGTCAGGCTTGTCTCGAACTCGTGACCTCAAGTGATCCACCCGCCTTCGCCTCCCAAAGTGCTGGGATTATAGGTGTGAGCCACCGCGCCTGGCCACCAACATTTTTTAAAAAAGAGTAATGGGGGATGTTTGTTCTATCAAATATTAAAATGTATTTTATTTAAAAGTACAGTTGTTAAACTATAATGCTAGATGTAATAACAGAATGGAGGTTATATAGTATAAGAAAAGGATCAGTACAGTCTAAAACCAAGGTCATTTATGTTTAGAAGGCAACAAATTACCTGCTACTTTTTCTCTTGCCTACATAATGCAAAGGAAATGTTTAAGGAAAACTTAGTGAACATTAGGAACATTTGAAAAAAATTAAAATATTAAGCCAACATAAAATATAAAATATTTAGCTGATAAACAGTATGTGAAAAAAGTAGAGGTTGCTCTATATGTTTTCCTTTTGAAATGCTTAGATGAGCTGTAAGATATTCTTCAAGTTAATTTTAAATCCACTGTTAATTATATGTATATAAATGTATTTATAAGTATATATGTTATATTTTTAAAAGCATCCTTTTGCTGTCACAACTTCTGAAGAAAAAAATGACCCTAACTCAAATGTTAATCTGTTGTCTTGGTAGAAATATCAGAGTTAATTGAATTGACTTAGACTTACTGTTTAAAAGTTCGTAGTAGCATAGACACAGCAGTGATAACAGGATCTTAGTGGGAGCTGTGTTGTTAGCAGGCTCTTTAGGCTGCTCTCTAGTGGAAATGCTGCAAGGCTGTGGCCTGCACTGGCGCATTTGGAGTTGACAGTGATGGGGAGCTTAGTAAGGGATTGATGCTTACAATGGCCATACCTTTATACTGGATTCTTTGGAAAATAAAAAGCCCTGTTGCTTCATATCACATTGTTCATAGTAATCTCACTATCTGGGAGAGTCCTTTTCTTGAAGCACCAGGAAGTACCTATCACACATCCAGAAGAGGATTTGAATTCAACCCCCAGTCCCCAATTTCTTCTCCACTGTCCTTCACCCTTTAGCTGCCCACACTGGCCATTTGTTTCAGTTTCAATTTCAGTCTCCCTGATGTAAATTGCCTTCTTGATTGCTGCTTTTAACCACCTCTGCTGTGATTTGTATTGTTGAAATAACTCTCTACCCACTCCAATAGAATGCTAAATGTTAGGTTAATAAGAGGAATGCCTGTTTCTGGCTCAAAGAATTAGTGGTTACTGCAAAAAAAAAAAAAAAAAAAAAAAAAGTTTAACAATATGCCAACCTTAAAATACCTCTAAAGCCAGATAATTATCAGAAATAATCATTATTTTATAAGTATTTTAAATAATTATTTTTAGATCACTTGGACTTGGGAAGGGGAACATCACACACCGGGGCCTATCATGGGGAGGGGGGAGGGGGGAGGGATTGCATTGGGAGTTATACCTGATGTAAATGACGAGTTGATGGGTGCTGACGAGTTGATGGGTGCAGCACAGCAACATGGCACAAGTATACATATGTAACAAACCTGCACGTTATGCACATGTACCCTAGAACTTAAAGTATAATAGTAATAAAAAAATTAAAAAAAAATAAAAATAAAAATAAAAATAATACTTTCTTAGTATTGATGAGGTATTCTTGAGATTATTGTAATGCTAATAGATATTGGTGAGTCACATGTAATTTAAAATTTTCTACTAGTCACATTAAAAAGTAAAAAGGTGAAATTAATTTTAATAACTCAGTATATCAAATATTACAACAGTTACTTTACATTTTTTAACTGAGTCTTTGAAATCTTTAACTGAATTTGTGTTTTACAGTTAAGAGCACATCTCAATTCAGATTAGCCACAGTTTAGTTGTGCAGTAGCCGCATGTGGGTGACTGCGATGGTAGTGCAACCCTAGTGTATTCTAGGCAATGAAAATTTAGAGTTTGTACTTGAGTTGATTATGTACTTTTCACTATGCTTAAAAAAAACTGTATTTTTGTGTGACCAAAATAGTAAATCAGTGAAAGAAGGTTATGTTCTTCATTCTTCAAAACTGAGAAGTTTTTTAGTATTTGGCAAATCTAGAATCACTGGTTAAAGTATACCTTGGTTTGACTATTAGTTTATTATATCAATACTGAGTTTAAGATCACAGATTTGAGTTGATAGTATTAGGTAACTCTTGCAGTATTAGGAAGATAGTGTTTTGCAATTATGTATTATCTGAGTGCCCATTTGGGCAGTGGGTTTCTAGCTGTGTTTTGCTAAGACCCAGGGCTGCTGTACAGATTAAGGGTAGGACTAAGGGACGTTTCAGCAAGCTGAGCTCTAACCCTTTTCTCCTTCTCACCCTCACCCATTCTCTGCATTTATTTATTCTGCACAGGAAACCTTTCCTCTTTGAAAAAAAAGTTTATATTATATTTAAAAGTTTGGAGACAGTTCCATGCTTAGCAATTGTTCTAGTGAATCTAAACCTAAATGTTGATGTTCTTCCTTTATACCATTGTAGGAATCTGGTTTAAAAAAAAAGGCTCTTTGCACTGAAATCTTGATCAGTAATTTATACAAACAGTATTTGTCTGTCTCTTCACCTCTCTTCTACCCTCTCTCTGGCTTATGGGAAGTTTTTAGCATCTACTTTATTTGACTACAGTATACAGTACAGGATTTGGACCTGTACTGCAAATAATAAAATCTTTAAATCTGCAACAGATAGATTTCCCAGAGATATTTCTACTTGTATTTCTAAAATAAAATTGTGTGCTTTTACCTTTAGAAATATTTAGAATAAGGGAAGTTTACTTCCACAGATTATTTATATTCATCTTCAGTGTGTAGATGAAGTACCAGCCAGGATGCTGGATTAAAACTTGTAAATACTAAAAAGTTTGGAGCTAAAACCCAATATTGCTGGAATGCATAGCCTAAAACATAGTAGTCAGTAGATATATCATTGAGAGAAACCAATTTGAGATGCACTATATTTGTCTACCTCTTTTAACTCAGGAAGTGTCCAAAAACTGATGACAGAACCAATCTCTCCTCCCTTATAAGCACCTTTTCCTCCAATAAACAAAAATCCACAATTTCCCCATTTCTCTGAATTTAAAGAGCATTTTATGGTTACTTTGACTAATCTAAATATGAATGTTTATAATGTTAAAACAGAATAATTACAACATGCTCCAGGTGGCGGGGGCGGGGGGCGGAATTTAAACTACAAATTTAGTGATTTTGAAATCTAATTTCTAAACTTCCATCAGAAATATAATAATGCATTATAGCTCCTATTTCCTATGTTTTAAATAGGAAATAATTCCAGCCAGGTTGCAGTTGAATTTCTGTGTAAGTAGGTAGGATACTGTAGCATCTCTTCTCCTGAGGAATCCCTTTACTTTATCCATTCTTTTCTATTTATTTATTTCTTTGAGACAGATTCTCACTTTGTCACACAGGCTGAAGCGCAGTGGTATGATCTTGGCTCACTGCAACTTCCGCTTCCTGGGTTCGAGTGATCCTCTCATGCCACCATGCTTGGGTAGTTTTTGTATTTTTTGTTTCTTTGTTTTGAGACAGAGTCTCATTCTGTCACCAGGCTGTAGTGCAGTGGTGCAGTCTCGGCTCACTGCAACCTCCAACTCCCTGGTTCAAGTGATTCTACTGCCCCAGCCTCCCAAGTAGCTGGGATTAGAGCCACGCGCCACCACGCCCAGCTAATTTTTGTATTTTGATGGGGTTTCACTATGGTGGCCAGGATGGTCTCGATCTTCTGACCTTGTGATCCACCTGCCTTAGCGTCCCAAAGTGCTGGGATTACAGGCGTGATCCACCGCACCCGGCCAATTTTTGATAAAGACAGGGTTTCGCCATGTTTCCAGGCTGATCTCCAACTCCTGAGCTCAAACGATCTGCCCGCCTCAGCCTCCCACAGTGTTAGGCTTACAGGCATGAGCCACCATGCCCAGCCTCTCAATTCTTTCTTACCCCTTCTCAATGTATATATATTTTAGTGAGCCAGTGCTTTATGCTTCTATGGAAATAATAGTTTCATTTTAGTCTTATTCATTGATTATTTTATAATTTCCCTTTTACCTATTGATTGATAGTCTGTGTTTCTAGGCTCAGCTCGCCAATCGGAAACAGAAATTAGAGTCTGTGGAACTTTCCAGCCAATCAGAAATTCAACACTTAAGCAGTAAACTGGAGCGGGCCAATGACACTATCTGTGCCAATGAGTTGGAAATAGAGCGCCTCACCATGAGGGTCAATGACTTGGTTGGAACCAGTATGACTGTCCTGCAGGAGCAGCAGCAAAAAGAAGAAAAATTGAGGGAATCTGAAAAACTATTAGAGGTCTGTTTTAAAATCACTGTAATTGGGGGAAGCGTGTGTATGTGTGTTTTATAAGAGAGTGTTATTAAGCTAGAACTAGGTTCTACAATCTATACTTTCTTCCCTGCTTTATAAATGATGGATCAGATATTGATAGTTTTGTTAATATTGTGACTGTTACATAACTTATAGTCTGACTTCCTGGCTTCTTATGAAATAGAAAAATTGTAATAATAGCTGGCTTAGAAATTTCTGGGTATTTTGCAGGTTCTGCAGGAAGAAAAAAGAATTGAAGGAAAATTACAATCATATTTGACTTTTTCGCAGGCTCTGCAGGAAGAAAAGAGAGAATTAAGGGCAGCTCTTCAGTCTCAAGAAAATCTCATCCATGAGGGAAGAATGCAAAAGGAGAAGTTACAAGAAAAAGTAAAGGCAACTGACACTCAACATGCTGTAGAAGCTATAAGGTCAATTTAATCTTAAATATTATTCATCTTAGCCACTTAATGGCTAGGCATTAAGCACTAGGCTTATTTTTATTTTTATTTTATTTTTATTTTGTTTTCAGATAGTCTCCTTCTGTTGCCCAGACTGGAGTGCAGTGGTACAATCTCAGCTCACTGCAACCTCCACCTCTCAGGTTCAAGCGATTCTTCAGCCTCAGCCTCCCGAGTAGTTGGGACTACAGGTGCACGCCACCATACCTGGCTAGTATTTTGTATTTTTAGAGATGGCCATTCATCATGTTGGCTAGGCTGGTCTTGAACTCCTGACCTCAGGTGATCTGCCCACCTCGGCCTCCCAAAGTGTTGGGATTACAGGTGTGAGCTGCCACGCCCGTCCAAGCACTGGTTTTAATATTGCATATTCATAATTTTATGTTTGATCGTATTGTGGATTTTCTTAATTGGCTTTAACTTCTGAGTTAGGTTTTTAAAGTGTTATAAAATTTTGTGTGGTTAATTTTCTTCTGCCACCAGTTTGGGTCCCTAACAGAGACTCTCATGTTTAGAAAGTTAGAAGCCAAGGTCAGTTTGCATGCTTTGGGAAAATCCAAACATGCAGGGAATTGTCATTCACGTCTCCTGGAGGCCTCACTTTCTTGGTGGAGTAGGTGGTGATTAGTAGCTGCTTATCAATAATAGCAGCCAGCCATTGGGCTAACCCTCTTGCTTGATGTAAGTCTGGTGTACATTTTTATTTTTGCCAGAATTCTCCTGTAACTTTTCAGTTTTTTTGGTACAAGGTTTCAAGTGTCACTGAAGTGATTTTGTCATTTTGTCTTTTTCCCTTGAAAAATAGGCCAAATCCCAGTTAAGAAGGGAGTAAATTGCTGCTTTTATAACTTTTAGCATCTCTTGACTGTCTTTCCTCTCCCAATATTCTTTTTATAAAGCAGGAGACAAACTGAAGAGTTCCAAAGAGTTTATCAAAAATGGCTGGGAAACACAAACTAGATGTGCATTGTTTGTGTTTGCAGAGATAAAGGCCTTAACAGTCATCATATGTCTTTCCATAGGCTACGGGAAGAATCTCTGGCAGAAAAGAAGTACACCTCTCAAGGGCAGGGGGACTTAGACAGTGTGCTCTCGCAGTTGAATTTTACCCATACTAGTGAGGAACTTCTGCAGGCAGAGGTGACTCGTCTTGAAGGCAGGTACATAATTATACACACATTTCAAAAATTTCAAGTTGTTAAAATGAATTTTTGATCATCATATTGATAAAGTAAATGAATATAGTAGTCATAGTGAAAAAAATAAGATTTTTTTCTAGCATCCACAAACTGCCTGAGTTCTTGTTTCTTTTTTTTTTCTTTTTCTTTTTTTTTTTTTTGAGATGGAGTCCCACTCTTTCACCCAGGCTGGAGTGCAATGGCACGATCTCGGCTCACTGCAACCTCTGCCTCCCGGTTCAAGCGATTCTTCCTCCCCAGCCTTCCAAGTAGCTGAGATTACAGGCGTGCGCCACCACGCCTGGCTAATTTTTGTATTTTTGTAGAGACAGGGTTTCACCATGTTGGCCAGGCTGGTCTTGAACTCCTGACCTCAGGTGATCTACCCGCCTCAGCGTCCCAAAGTGCTGAGATTACAGGTGTGAGCCACCACGCCCTGCCCTAAGTTCTTATTTCATTGAGAAGACAGCAGCAATTAAAGGAGAACTTCTTAATCTTTCTGTCATCAAAACTACCAGTCTTCCCACACCTGTGCCTTTCTGCACTTCTAAGACCAACTACTCCACTTGTGTCCTTTTTCTGTAGTTATATCCTTTCTTTTCTACATCATCAAGTTCTTTCTCTCCGCTGAATTATATCCACTGGTATAAAATATGCTATAACGTCACCCATCTGGGGGAAAAACCATCCCTTAATCCTATATCTCCGTCAAGTTACTTCCACATTTCTGTACTTCTCTTTAAGACCAAATTCTTCAAAAGAATTGTCTATACTGACTCTACTTCTTTACCTTTCACCTGTTTAGCAGCCCTTCACTTAGGTTGTCCTCCCTGCCACCTTGGAAGCAGGGTAGGAAGGGGTAACAGTTGACACACGGTGATCCTCCTTTTTGTTCTGCTGTGGTGGTGTTACTTCCTTGGGTGTTCATTGAATCCTGACTAATGCTATACCATACCTACCTAAACTCTTGTCATTGTCATACTTATAATTTTTTTTTTGGTTTTTCATACCTCTCAACTTTTGGATTGGGAAGAGTGTGATATTTTGTTTTAAACACATGACTCATTATCATTTGTACACTGGCATTTTCTGTATGTAAAAGATAAAATTACTTTTAACATGAACTGTTAACCTTTAGGCAAACAACAAGAGAAATATCATTTTACACTTTTTAAGTTATCTTTAAGTAATACATTTTTTGTTTTTACATTTATTTCTGGTTTTGGAAACCAGTAAGTATTTTCTTTTATCTACATGTTAAATGCACAAACATACATACACACACATATTTTCTGCTTTATTCCTTTTGGAATACTTGGAGTACTTGAGATAATCTTTGTTATCATTGAAGTATATGTGTACTCTTCCATTTGACTAAAATTAAGTTTATTATTTTTGACATTGGGACAACAATTTACATTTTTATCACAGTTTTTTTATTGATTGGCTTTTTAGTAATATTTAAATGAGTGATGTGATGTTTAAGATATTGGCTGAATATTTTTTGGACATCAAGAATGTAAATTATATAGTCCAATTTATAGGTTTCGGGATTTTGGTTTTGTTTTAAATATGGGATCTTATTTTTGTCATACAGTTTGGAATCTGTGAGTGCAACATGTAAACAGCTGAGTCAAGAACTAATGGAAAAATACGAAGAATTAAAGAGGATGGAAGCACATAACAATGAATACAGAGCAGAGATTAAGAAGGTAAAAATATGCATACCTAGGATTGCAAAATTGTATGTGTTTATGGACTGAGCTGTGGGTTTGGAGATTATAGGGGTTATTTTTAATGAGAGAAAAATGTAGTTCAAGGGGCCACTTGATATTTAGGAGTGGAAGAGTACGTGGAATGTGCATAGGGAAAGTGCCTTCTTTCTCTGGCATCCCCCCGATGCCCAATAAATATTTTTAAGATAATTGAAGGCTGTTCCCTTTGAACTTAAAAACTTTATTTTAAACATGTTTTAATGAAAAGTTTTCTAAAAGACATACACTTAGTGTTTGCAAAAAAATATGAACTGTCATTTAATATTTTCTTATTGCCTAAACATAGTATTTATGGATTGTCTCCTGTGCTGTGATGTGGTTGGTATCCTTGTCAGCTATTGAGGTATGCAGAGCTGTTTGTGTCTATATGAGTGGGTCCTAACTGTCCTATTTGTTGTTTTGTATTTTTTGTTACTTCTTGAAGATTACTTCTCGCTTGTTTCTTCCTCTTGTTCTTTCTGTTTGTTATCCTGTGGACCAAGATACCATATGAGCAAAACTTTTAGATTCACAACTAAAAAAAAGAATGAAGGTCACAAGTACTGTCCTCTAAATAGTGTGCATGGACCTTGATTGTGGTCCTCAGCACTTGAATAACCCATCTCTCCCTGTTTTGAGGTATAATAAGTGATTGTAGGTATAACCACCTGACCTTCAGTACAGATATGCAACTTGGTAAATTGCTAATTTTTCTGCAGATTTAATTCAGGAGAAATTTAATGTCTTGAGATAAGGTAAGCTTTTATTTTATTAGCTGGTAACATATTATTCTATCTAAATGCTTTCTCTTTTGGTGCTTTCTTTTCTGCTTTCTTTATAGTTGAAAGAACAGATTTTACAGGGTGAACAAAGTTACAGTTCTGCACTAGAAGGAATGAAGATGGAAATCTCCCATCTAACTCAGGAGTTACATCAGCGAGATATCTCTATTGCTTCCACCAAAGGTTCTTCCTCAGACATGGAAAAGCGACTCAAAGCAGAGATTCAAAAGGCAGAAGAAAAAGCAGTAGAGCATAAGGTGAAGCCTGAACAAAAACTTTTTTAAATTTGAAATTTGTTTTAAAGATGGAATTGATTAAAGACATAATTTTCATAATATTTAATTCAGTGAATTTTTATTAGATACCTGCTTTGAGCTGAGGGTATGCTGGTTAACAGAGAGTTTAGTGAGGGTGGTGCAGAGGTGAGAGTAGACACAGACAAGTAAAGTGACTATATCAGTGGTGTATGATGAGAGTCACTAGAGATCACAAGCAGCCTGAATCTAGACCACTCGCTGCAAAGGCCTTCCAGAAGGTGTGATAGCAAAGCTAAGTTAGGAGCGAGCTGGGTGAGGGGAAGGAAAAGTATTTCAGGCACAGGAAAATACAGAGGTCTCTAAGAGATAGTAGAACACGCTTGCTGTGGTTGAAACACGCTTGCTGTGGTTGAAACTAGAGTACACGTGGGATGAGTGGAAGGTATGAGACTGGAAAGCAGAGACTGGCTGCTGAAAGGCTCTGTTAGCCACATAAAGGAGTTATACTGTGACCTTGAGGTCAGTAGGGAATGGCCACAAGCAGGAGTAAAATTCAGTGGTCTTTAAATGGAGAATAAGCAGGGAGACAGAGCACCCAGATGCTGTTACAGTGGTAAGATGGTGGCCTGAGCAGTGGGTAAGGGAGGGAGAGATAAATGGATGAATTCTGGAGATACTGGGCTGGTAAAAATGACTGGGCATTGTATTTGATTGGCAGGGAGGGTGAGGTAGGCAGAGTTAAGAAATGGTGTTCCACAGGATTTAAGCTTAGGCAACTGATGGAAAGTGATGCTCTTTAATTAAATAGAGAAAAGACAGGGATCTAGTTTGGCGAAGGATAATGAATTTGTGTGAAAAGTACACAGACTGGGGAAACTGGTGGAGAGGACTTTGGTTTAACACATTTGTTTGGAATAAAGGCTGGAATTTTGTGTGGATAATAGTCATTTCCACAGAAGGCCCGGAGTTAAAGATTAAAATCAGGATTAGGTATTTAGCTGTGGCTGTCCTTTCTTCATGGTGACATTTGAAACCCCCTGAGAGACTTAATGATTATAGTGAGAAAGCATAGCATAAAAAGAGAAGTGACTGAAACCAAACTTAGGATACTTCTCATTTAGCGTGTAAAAGATGTTGGAATGAAGCTTAAAAAAAGGGAGCAGTGAGGAGGAAAATCAGATAGTTTTTGCCAAGCCAAGGAAAGAAGGAATATTTTCTTTTTTTTTTTTTTTTTGAGACGGAGTCTCACTCTGTTGCCCAGGCTGGAGTGCAGTGGCGCGATCTCGGCTCACTGTGAGCTCCGCCTCCTGGGTTCACGCCATTCTCCTGCCTCAGCCTCCCGAGTAGCTGGTACTACAGGCGCCTGCCACCACTCCCGGCTAATTTTTTTTTTTTGTATTTTTAGTAGAGACGGGGTTTCACCATGTTAGCCAGGATGGTCTCGATCTCCTGACCTTGTGATCTGCCCATCTCGGCCTCCCAAAGTGCTGGGTGAGCCACCGTGTCCGGCCAGAAGGAATATTTTCAAATGGGAATGGTTAAGCACAAAAGCTAAGGGGAATGAGAACTGAAAATAAGTTATTATTTTGTGAATAAAGTACAATTCCATGTGACGTTGCAGGTAGAAGCCAAGTTGGAGGAGTCCAACACAGGAGAATGGGTAGGGATTTAAGGGATTTACCAGTGAATTGAAACTTTGCTGCTTTATCACCTGATTTATCCTATTAGAATGATATCTTCATCCCATTCATGTTCATTCAGCTTAATAACACCTTATAAATCTTTTTAGAAAGTCCATATATATATGTATATTTATATATGTTTATATATAAATGAAGAATATGACTTAGCCTAATGAAAATTCCATGTGGAAAATTTTGTAAGATGCATTTGATTTACATGTTATATTTATTTTTTTCTGCTTTCCCCTTTTCAGGAGATTTTGGATCAGCTGGAGTCACTCAAATTAGAAAATCGTCATCTTTCTGAAATGGTGATGAAATTCGAATTGGGTTTACATGAGGTACATAAATAGAAACTTAAGTTTTTCTACTATCCATGCCTTAAAAAAAATTACTTTGTAAATATTAACATTATAAACAGAGAGTTAAGATCAACTTAGATCCTTTTGCAGAAATTTTCTCAAGGAAATGAAGGCAAAATGCTGGAAGTGAGCAAAATATGACTCTCCACTCCAGCAGCAGGAAGGGTTTTTGTTTGTTTGTTTGTTTGAGATGGGGTTTTGCTCTTGTTACCCAGGCTGGAGTGCAATGGCGTGATCTTGGCTCAACCTCCACCTCCCGGGTTCAAGCGATGCTCCTGCCTTAGCCTCCTGAGTAACTGGGATTACAGGCAAGCGCCACTACACCCGACTGATTTTGTATTTTCAGTAGAGATGGGGTTTCTCCATATTGGTCAGGCTGGTCTCGAACTCCCCACCTCAGGTGATCTGCCCGCCTCAGCCTCCCAAAGTGCTGGGATTACAGGCGTGAGCCACCATGCCCGGCCATGAAGGTTTTTTTTTATATTATGTATGTGATAAAATATACCTACAGTCTGTGTTCTTAGTTGGAAGAATGTATATTAAGGACTTAGCATAGTACCTGGCACTTAGTAAGTATGCAATACATGCTAGATGGTGGTATTTTTATTATTATCGTTAATGATTATTATGTTTATGTTATCTTTTTAGAAAGTATATTGTCTTTAAAATAATTTAGCTTTAATTTTTTTTCTGCAAGATATTCACATAGTAAAATATTTTAGAATCTTTTATATTCAAGGACTTTTAGTAGGTGCTATAATGAACACAGGATAAATAAGATAGCATTCTTACCTTTAAGAGAGATTTTGGATCAGCTGCAATCACTCAAATTTCTCTAGCCTTTAGGAGACTAGAGTAATCTAGTAGCAAGGGTAAGAAATGCATACAAGCTTCTGTGAAACCAGAGAGAACATGATTAGCCAACAGTGAGTTACAGTATAGATGCTCTTTTAACTGTTTTGTTACAAAGTTCCTATAATTTGTGAAATGACTCATCTATTCTGACCCATCTTTTCTTGGTGTAGGTCAAATGTCTGAAAATTGTATAAATGCTTTTTTCCTGGATTTCCAGAGAGTATTCCTCCAAAAAGATATATAATTCCAAGGTGCTCCCTGTTTGCTCTGAAAAGTTCTAATTTCACAATCCAGGATTGTGGATACTGGGGTGGAAGAATGTGCAAAAGACTATTGTAGAGTACCTTATTTCAACTGGAAAAACGGGGGACTATTTTTGTAATCTTTCAGAAGGGTAAGATTCTCTAAACATCATGAAGTCATAGAGGATTTTACAACATAAAAATGTGAAGTTTCTGGAAGGTAAAAGGCCCTATTAAAAAAGGCTAATAGGGAGAAAACAATTTATAATCAGACAAAAGGTTAATGTAAATTATTAATACATAAAAATTCCCTACAAAGATAATAAGGAAAAGATAATCCAGTAGAAAAATAGGCAAAGGATGTAAATAGATACCTCATAGAATTAATATAAATATCTAGTAAACAAAGAAAACTGTTCAACCTCTCTAATAAAGCAAAATAAATAGACATTCTTTTACTAATTGGTTTGATAATAACCTTTAAAAACTAATATATAGCCAATGTTAGAAAGATGTAAGGAAACAGATTGATTGCACTGTCAATGAGAAAGTGAATTGATATGGCCTTTCTAGAGGACAGCTTAGCAATATCCCTCAAATGCGTAAATACGTATAGCCTCTAAATTCCTGGGTCATGTGTGTTTCTGATTTTGATAGTCATTGCTGAATTGTTTTCAGAATGGTGTTAATCTTTTTACATTCCCTTAGAAACCATTCTCTAGGAGCAAATGTGCATAAAATGGTCATTGCAGTATTGTTTGCAATGTCCAAAATTTTGAAGTAAACTAAATATTTATTTCAGTGGTTAATTTGTGATTTTATGAATATTACGCTGTCATGGAAGGTGGCAGGTGAAAACACTCATCTGATCTTGCTGTATCCTCAAATCCCTCTAAAACTATCATGAAAGGATTTATTTTTAAAGCACAAATCCACAAGGTTGGGAATAATAGGAGAGGAGACAATAGCTAAACATTTTATAAGGGGGAAGATGGGAAGGAAGGAAGGGAGGGAGGGAACTTCATATCCCCTAATAAAGCCAATATTAAGCTAGTAGTGGAGAACTCTAAGAACTAAACTGATTTACACCACAGAATTCTGTAAAGGCTTAGGTTTCGGCAGTACTTGATTGAGAGACTCTTATGCAGTGATTATCTGTTCATATTTAAGAATTGAGAACTCTTGGGGAACTTTAGCCAGACCATGACCAGAGATGCTGTTCAGCTTAATTTCTCCTGAAACTTCCAGCTGTCAATAATAGTGGTAATACTGTTCTTTCTTTACACAGCTAGATGTGTGCTTGCTACTCAGTTTTCATATTACCTTTCATATTCATTTATCTATAGTAATTGTTTATAAAATAATAACTTAGAGAAATTTTTAAAACATACCTGAACAAAGGTAAGCATCATCATTTTTTAATAAGTATGTTTAATGACATCAGACATCAAACTGGTGAAAACCGTATCAGCAGTTTAAGCTTTCTCTAGTTTTGAAATTACATACAGTGTGAATATGTTGTACATATTATGAAGAATAATTATTAGAAAGTGCCCTTTTGCATTTTACCATGTAGAAAGCTGAAGTTACTTGTACAAATGAATGTTTGGGTTAAATGTCTATTTTAATAAATTACCTAATTATCTTAGTAATGAAAGCAACAGCTCTGATAAAATACATTATTTACCATGTTTTAAAAACTGATAATAGTTTCATTTTAACTCATATGTCCTGCAGATGTTCTTCTCTGGTATTTTATCTGGCATTTACAACTTGTTGAAAGATTTTGTAGCTCTTCGTCACTACTTGTACACAGATAGTTCACAGATATATTTTAAAGTTTATGTTTTTGTTAGGAAAATTATGTTTGTTAGACCACTCTTGACGAGCTTACTTTCAGAATTTTTTTTTTTTTTTTTTTTTGCAGAAAAGACCAAGCTAACCATGGTATTAAACTCCAAAGATTACCATAACTTTGCATAATACTAATTAAAACATTTTGTCATCAGAAAAAAAATCACCCAGACTACCATTTTTTCAAGTAGTGTCTTACCAGGAAACACCTCGAATTGAAAAGCAATCAAATATATGATACCAGATCGCAATAGTAATTCCCACTATGTACTTGAATCCTGCCTTATCATGTCCAAATTTATATATGAGTAGATATCAAAGTTGTAGAAAAGTGTTTAATATTAGAGAGTATTTATTTTAAAGTCCCTGCCAGCCAGATTTTTTTCTTAGAACTTTTTCTTCAAATTTCTTTCCTTGAACTAGGTCTCTGTTTTCTTCCACTGGTATTCTGGGGCTATTCAACCTTCACCTTCTTGCAGAAGAAACATGGCCGCTATTTTCCTTCTTTTTCCCTGTTTCTGATTCCCTCTTACAACTTTCCCCCATCCTGGTTCCATCCTTCCTCCACCTCCTTGGAATTCCTTGCCACACAAGGAAGCCCATTGTGGTTCTAGCGTTTCACCAGCATTTACTTGAAGAATTCTTTATCTCTGTTAGTCTTAGAGGCCTAAAAACAAATCTTCACTTTTTCTAAATTAAAGCCATAGATTAACTACTTACAACTAAAAAATACTGAAATTTCCAACCAGCAGTATCACAGATCACAAGTATTCCCGTACAGATTAAGTGACTCTAGTATTCTTTTTTATTAGGCAAAAGAGATTTCACTAGCAGATCTCCAGGAGAATTACATTGAGGCATTAAATAAATTAGTGTCTGAAAATCAACAACTACAGAAAGATTTGATGAATACCAAATCTCAGCTGGAGATTTCTACTCAGATGTGCAAAAAACAAAATGACAGGATCTTTAAACCAACACACAGAAGAACAACTGAGTTCAAGAATACAGAGTTCAAGTAAAATTTCTTAAAAGTTTATTTAAAATGTGTATTGGTACAATATAATTCTCATTTCTTTGAGAATAATTTCTGACTTACAGAAATTAAATCTTCATCAAAGGACTCCATGTTTAATTCTGAAGTATAGTGTACACAAGTAAAGCCATGATCATGTTAAAAAATTGGTGGGGGAGGTGTATAGCGTTTTCATTAAAGCTTTTGTTTTGTACACTCTGGATGTCAGTGTAAACAACATGTGTATTACCTGAGACTTTTCATGCTGCCTTCCACCTCTTCAACCCCATTTGCCCATAAGAAGTAGAATATGGCTTTTTATAAACAGCTTCCTTTGTGTTTTTAGTCAGTTTGTTATAGGCTGTTACCATAAGAAATAAGCATTCAGTGAAAAGCCACCTGGCTTCAGCTCATACTATATGGCTTACATGTTTTCTTACCCAAAGCCTTCGCTGACACGCTCACCTCTACTCCTACACCAGCCCAACCCTCTAGTGAGGTTAGGTGCCTTCTTAGGTGCACAGCACTTCTCCTGTCCCAGCACTAACCACACTAGATTACCTGGCAGCTTGTTTGTCTTTCTTGCTATACCATAAGTGTGTGAGGGCAGGGACCTGGTAGTGGGGATTGGATATTTGGGACCTGAATGAATGAAAGAACACCTGATCTCAGTAGATTGCTCATTTTGTAAATTCTAGCCTTATTAATTAGGCTGTTGGCTTAAGCAAATTTCCTACATTTCTGTTGGAGAAAGAAAAGTTGCTACAATTTTTTATTTGTTTTGTTTTCTAATCTACCATCCAGGCCAACCCATGGCCAGCACAGACATGATGGAATAAAGACTGAGCACTACAAAACAGGTCTTCATTCTCCAAGAGGACAAGCGTCGGATAGTATAGACCCCATGTCTAGGGTGCTAAGCCCCCTGAGTCCTCAAATCAGCCCTTGCAGCTCCACCAGGTCTTTGACTTCCTACTCTCTGTGTAAAAGTCACTCTTTGCCTTCAGCGCTAGATACAAATGAAGCCAATTTTTCTGACACTGTGTCTGAGAGTATGAATGACCAAGAAGAGTTTATGTCTTCGGTATGGAAACTTTCTGATCTTATTAATTTATTAGTTTTTTAGTTTGATTTTATTTTTTATTTTAAGGGTGAAGAGGGTGATTTTTTTTTTTCCTTACTGGTTCTTTTATCATAAGTACTCTTCATTATTCTCAGGTATATCCCTGTCATACAGTTTTTGCTTGTGAAGAGACTTTCAGCCAAGACTACTTTTCAAAATGTTCTGAAATGTGTTATAGTTATTCATTTGTCTTTAACACTTATTGGAAATTCCCTTCCTGCCCTTTTAAGAGATGCTCAATTTTCTTCTGGAATGGTTAGTTCAAGAAATGTCTCTGGATGCCAACATAGTCCTGAGGCACAGGCAGTGAAGGAAGAAAAGAGAAGCTGCTGGAAAGGAGAAAGGGAGTTCAGAGGTGGAGGAAGTGTGTGCCTCTGATGTGTGCAGAGCATGGCTTGGGTGTCACAGATGGTGGCCCTCAGAGCAGAATGTGCCTTGGACACCATGCCGGTCCCTTGCTCCTTCCATTGCTGTGCAGCCTGCACCATCTTTTTGCCTTCTGCACCAAAGCACTTGCCATGGGCCCTTCATTTCCTATCACCAGCTGCAGCTGTATAGCCATGAAAGTGCAGTATTTTTGACTTATTAATGTGCCACCAAATCCATGGAAAGGTTTTCTTTTATTTTTCAAAATAAGTCCTCACTTCACTTTCTTCCTAAGTTTAGCAGCAAAATTATTTTGGCACCAAAACTTTCCCTGGCCTGAACTGATGTGTTAATTTGTATAGACTTTCTCTGTTCCACTTAGTGTGAATATCCATGTGTTTTGCTTCAGAAATATCAATGTGTTTGGTTATGGGATGTTCCCTCAGACTCCACTGGGGTAATACAGTTGATCCTCATTATTCACAGATTCTGTATTTGTGAATTTGTCTACTCCCTCAGCTTTATAACTCCCAAATCAGTATGCGCAGAGCACTTCCACAGTCATTCGTGGACATATACAGAGTGGCCAAAAATTTGAGTGCCGACTTGCACAATCTAAGCCAAGGTTGAAGTAGGCATCTCCACCAGAGGGTGGAGATGGATGGGACAGCGCAGTGTAGGGAAGAAGCTCAGCTCCATGCCAGACAGAGGAATGGGTAGAGTCTGAATTCCAGCCTCGGCACCAGTTAGTGGGGCGGCCTCAGGAGAGTTACCACTTCTGATCCTCATGTCTCTCATGTGAAATAAAAAATACAGAATCCACCAGAATGAGTTGTTCTAGGATTTAGGATTGTACTCTCTGTGTGGGGTGTGTGTATGTGTGTGTGTGTATTTGTTGTATGTGTATATTTCCCTGGGCCAAAAATTCTGTGTTTGCTAATTCAGTGTTCTGGGTGACTTTATAGAATACGACTGCTGTTGTGAATGAGTATTGACTGCATATGGCATATGTTCTGTACTACCTTTCTAAAAATCAGAATTCTGAAACATCGCTAGCCTCAAGGGTTTCAGATAAGGGACTGTGGACTGAAAATTTGGAGGAGAAAAAATATTGATTTTAGCTGGCATCTAATTTATTTTTGTTAAATTGTCTGTGCTTTAAAATGAAAGTGACATACTCAGGTTTTTAAAGTGAGTTTGAAATAATAGGCATTAACTATGGAAGGATATATAAGTCTAAACTGAAACGTTCTTCAGACCAATAACTAATATATGATACTTTACATGATTACAACTTGGGTCAGAAAGGGACAGATCTGTGTTAATTTTTACAGAACTTACTGAGTTTTGTTCTTTTATTGCTCTTATTAGGATGAAAACCAAAAAAGTCTCTTCAAAGGAAAACAATCAGCTTTTAATATTGCTAGTTAGAAAATGTCATGAACAGTGTGTCTTAGAAATATAATATTCTACTTATTTACACATGTCAAAATTTGTCTCTCTTCCAGTGTTCCTTGCCTGTTTCTCCCCTTGGTTCAATAGCTACTAGATTTTTGGAAGAGGAGGAACTGAGGTCTCATCACATTCTAGAGCGCTTGGATGCCCATATTGAAGAACTAAAAAGAGAGAGTGAAAAGACAGTGAGACAATTCACAGCCTTAAAGTAGCCTCTTAAAAAATCACAATCTTGGAAATAAAAATAAACACCAAAGAGTTACTGTCATCTGAAGTAGCAGCTCTTTAAAAACATGAAGAGATAAAATTATAAAAATGATACATCTAAAGCAGTGGTGAAGAAAGCTGAAAAACCAATACTTTTGATAGGCATTTTCTCTGCACTAGTTTGTTTGAAGGACTTCCTCCAGTGATAAGTTGTGAGAATAAACCACTTTGCTAGACTTTTTTCTCATACGAATATGTATTATCATAAAGTGATACTTATCTTGCTGACTTAAATGTGAATAGCTGTGTACTAATTGAAAGAAGGATTTTATGATACATGTTGAAAATAAAGTAACTGCAGGAACTTTCTTTAAGGGAAATGTGTAGAAGCATGGATTTAGGGGTCAAACTTACCTGGATTGATAGACTGGTTTTGCCATCCAACTGGGCTGGTTATTTACTAGGCTGGTAGCCCCTCTTAGCCAAGGGGCTGGTGGTGTGTAAAGTCAGGCTGGCAGTGAATAAGCGGGGTAGGCTAAAGAACCTTAGCAAGCAGTCCTCTCTTGCTCAGCACTTATGCAGAGGAGAGAGGCAGGGAGGGCAAGGGACTGGCTTTCGTGCGTGGTGCCCATGGAATATCCATTGGAAATAAATGTTCAGCGTCTGCACTGCTGAGGACAAGTTTAGATGGGAGATAAAGATCTGGATGTTGATATGCCAGAAGCATTTGAAATCATGGGAGTTGATAAGATCCACCAGGGAGGCTGTGGAGAGAGAGGGGAGCAGGAGGCTGGGTTTGGGGCCCTGAAAGATGCCAGCATCTGAAAATCACAGGAAATAGATCTAGCAAAGGAACTAGATTGTGCAGTTACAGATGAGACAGGTCAGTGTAGTGTACTTGCCACCTTAAGGGTATGGCCCCTGTGAATCCTCTTTCTCTAGTGGATCTTTCCCATTAGCATAAAACATCCTGTTATTTCCCCTTTTTTAAAAAAAACTCATTTTTTTATACCTCTCTATCTACTGCTCTGTATGTTTATTTGCTTCCCTTCACCCAAACACTTCTGAAAAGAGGTGTCTGCAGTGACTCTTTCCAGTTTCTCACCTCGCCCCACCGCAGTTCTCTTCCTAACCCTCTCCACCACCATTTCCATCCCCAGACTGCTTTCTTGCTCTTGAGTTCACCAGTGACCTAATCACCGTCTGAGCATCATTCAGCACAGCTGGACTCTCTCTTGGCTTCTAAGACCTGGAACTTCTGGTTTCATCTCTACCTCATCCTCCACTCCATCTCATGGCTTTTCCTCTTCTAACCTGTAAGTCAGAGGGCCCCCTGGAGCTCTGTCATGGGTTTTCTCCCTCAGCATTCTCTTCCCTAGAAGTTTCCATTCCAATCTCAAGCTCTTAATGCCACTTATAGGCCAGTGACCCTTACATTTATTACTAATCTTGACCTCTCCCGGAGCTGCTGTCTTAGATACCTAGCTGCTTATGCGATGTCTTCACTTGGATGTCTGACAAACATCTTGTTTCCAAGAGAGAACTCTTTATTCTCCCTCTTGCTAAGATTCCATATCAGGACACAGCATTATGTTTGCCTGTTCCTAGGAGTTGCTGATAATTCCTTCCTTACCCACGTCTGCATATCCAGTCATTTGGGAGGTCCTGAATCTTCCCCCAGAATCTTATCTCAGACCCAACCATTTCCCTCCTGCACTTCTACCACCTGATCCAGACTACTTCTCTCTCACCCTGATTCTGGCAGTAGCCTAACTGATACTACTCACACCAATAATTCAGGGAACTTCTGGAGTTATCCTTTAGAAAAGTAAATGAAACAGTGTCACCACTGCTTCCCTTTAGACTCTTCCAAGGCTTCTCTTTTTTTTGACTGAGATGGAGTTTCACTGTGTTGCCCAGGCTGCAGTACAATGGCAGGATCTCGGCTCACTGCAATCTCTGCCTCCCGGGCTCAAGTGATTCTCCTGCCTTAGCCTCCCGAGTAGCTGAGATTACAGGTGCATGCCACCAGGCCCAGCTAATTTTTGTATTTTTAGTAGGAACAGGGTTTCACGATATTGGTCAGGCTGGCCTCGAACTCCTGACCTCAAGTGATCCACCTGCCTCAGCTTCCTAAGGTGCTGGGTTATAGGCATGAGCCACTGTGCCCAGTCCCAAGGCTTCTTACTCCACTCAGAATAAAATCCAAATGAATTAATATAGCCTACAGGGCCTCAATAATATGGGCCTAATCTCCCGTTGCATCATCCTTTACTGTGCTCCACCCATGCTGTCCTCCTTTCTGTTTTTTGAGTACAACAAGCTTTAACCTCTTAGGGTCTTTGACTTGCAGTTTACCCTGAATATTCCCTTTCTCTTACCTCACCTGTGATTGGCATTTTCCCCTTGCAGGCCTGCACTCTGGCATCTTCTCATGAGCAAGCCTTCTTTGACTGCTGCCTCCCAAACCTGCTTCTCCCCATTTCTCTAGCTCATTGGCCTGCGTTATTTCCTTCATAGTGCCCACCACTATCTGAAATCATTTCATTACTTGATTTATGTTTGTATTGTCTATTTCTGCTGTTAGAATTAAAACTCCTTGAGGGCAAGGACTTTGCTTATCTGGTTCATGGTGGGATCCCCATTACCCGGCACAAGCCCAGCACTTAGGAGAGGCTCAGCTAGTTCGAACCAATGGAAAATGCCATTCCTGAGGTGCACCACATCATTTCTTTCGTGTTGGTGTGCATGCTGTCCTTCAGTTTGCCTCCTCTTCCCATACCCTGTCATGTGCTCTTGAAACTCCCCATTTACTTGGCTACTTTATCTGGCTTGGCAAAGCTTTCCCCTATAGCCTGACCCACATCAGGGAACGTTTCTCCTCATTGCTCTCACAGCACCCTGTGTGTGGCCGCGACCAGACTGTGCTATCCTCTTTGATTTCTATCTCTCAGGGGCTAGGTCCTGCCTACATCCTCAGTCAGCATGCTGCCTAACACGTAACATCCTAAGCAAATACTGGGTGGATGAAAATCACTACTGTTCAAATCTTCATTGTATTTATCAGTAAAACCGAAATAATATCTAATGGCGTCGAGAACATTTACTGAAAATATGTATCTGAAAGGGCTTTGCAGATTTTCTAATAATACTGTAGCTATGTGCATTGCTATTATATTCAGGAGATTTTTACTTTTAGACAGTCCCAAGCTTCAGCTTAAAATCTGTAGACTGCAACCCGTTTCTGAGATGTTTGTACTACGTGTTGACTAGGAGGAACAATGACAGACTCTGTAGTCACGAGAAATACTTAAGGAATCATGAGGTACTATGTATTTCCTTAAATTTGTACTGTTTTTTAAAGCTGAAGTATTTAGTAATTAATGGGTTATCCAAATTTGTCAGAAAATTCAACTGTAATTTAATGTCTCACCTTCATTTTTCAAAAAGATATATTAATACCAAATATTAAAATGTGTCAAGACTAAATCTGAGTTAGTGTCTTAACACACATTTTCCAAAATCTCAGAGATCAGGGTACCCAAATGAGATGAAAAGATTAGGGACCAGTAGTCTACTTTTGGTGTTTACAGATAATGTTTTATTGGGCAAGTCATCTCATTCCTCTTGTCCTGGATTCCCAATGAATTTTCATCTGTATTCCTATGCAGATTTTAGCTGAAGAGGGCAAAGTTAACTTCCCACTGTGGGCTGGACGTTACCTTCCCTTGCAGCCTCATTTGATCTCAACAAGTGTAGAAAAAATACTACAGCACTCTGTGTTTCTATGACATCTGCTTAAACCCAAACAATTCTTACCTTCTCTGTCTTACATACACATAACACCTGGTAAACTGCGGGTGATGATTTTCTGTTTTCAGAACACTCGAGTCCAGTACCGAATGAATCTAGTTACCCGGTTCAGTTGCCAGAGGAAGGCAGCCAAGTTACCTCTGAGCTTCAGATGGGGAAAAGCAGAGAAGAAAACATTTACCTAAAAGTTTTATGGTACTCATAAGATTAAAAAAAAAAATCATAGACTTAAGAAAAGCACAGTTTTTTTCTCCGTGTTTGAATAAGTGTTTTGTAAAGTGTGTGAGCATCCAGAAGAGAAGTCCAACATTTTCATAACTGGTAATAATAATCTGCACAGCTCCCCCTACAGTGTGCTTCACTGTGGGTTGATGGCATAAGGCTGACTTCCAAATTCAGAGGAAACTGTTCTGAGAGGGCTCCAAACATGATGGTGTAAAAGCTCTCATGGCCTGGAAAGGGAAAATTTAGAGGGATGATGGACTGCTTTAAACCAATCTTTTGTAAAAGATATTTCTCCACGGTGCAGTTTTGATAATTCAGACAATACAGTTCACATGTCTTTTTTTCTCTCTGTGAGGAACTAGAAGTTGAGAATTTTATGTTGCCCATTAAGGCCAGGTTCAATTATTTGACAATCATCCAATCAGAAGAACTTTTGCACTCCTCTTACAAAAAGAACGTAAGGCAGTAGTTGATGGGGGAAGGTCTAGAACTCCTTGGTATTAAATGCAAAACATTTATTAATGTTAATAATATATTAATAATGTTAAATGCAAAAAATGTGCATGTGTGCATTTTTCTGGGGAGAAGATTCATAATTTTCATTAGAATCTTGAAGGTGTCTGTGAATCAAAAAGAGATTAAAAACCATAGCTTTAGGGACTAGAGTTCTCCCAGAATGGTATCCCGTTTCCTGGGGAGAGACATAAAATGTCTTCCGGGGCTGAATTTTAAAGTGCAGTTGAATACTCATTCAAAATTTAAGTTTTTCAATAATAACAAGACAATTCAGTTCAAAAATGGATAAAAGATTGGAATAGACATTTCTCTAAAGATACACAGATGGCTAATAAGCAAATGAAAAGATGTTCAACATCATTAGTCATCAGAGAAATGCAAATCAAAATCAAAATGAGATACCATTACACACCCACTATAAAAAAGATGGACAATCACAAGTGTTGAAGATGATATGGAGAAATTAGAACACTCATATTTGCTGTGGGAATGTAAAATAAAATAGTGCAGTCACTCTGGAAGACAGTTTGGCAGTTCCTCAAAAAGAGTTAACCATATTACCCAGCAATACCAATCCTAAATCTATGACCGAGAAAAATGAAAACATATCCATACAAAAAGTTGTACACAAATGATCTTAGCAATATTATTCACGATAGCACCAAAGTGGAAGCAACCTAAATATCCATCACTGATGAATGGATAAACAAAATGTATATCCATGTAATGGAATGTTATTTGGGAACAGAAAGGAATGAAGTATTATTGTACTACTGATGCCACAGCATGGATGAACCTTGAAGACAGGAAGAAAACAAACAAACAAAAATCACATATTGTATGATTCCATTTATATGAATTGCCCAGTATAGACAAATCTATAGAGACAGAAAGTAGATTGGTAGTTGCTAGGGGTTGGCAGAAGGTTGGAGTGGGGAATGGGGATAGGATTGGGAGGTGAAGACTAAAGGGTATGGGGTTTCTTTTTGAGATTATGAAAATGTTCTAAAATTGATTGTGATGGTTGCACAAATCTGAATATAACAACTAAAAACAACTAAATCGTGTACTTTAAATGAGTGAATTATATACTATGTAAATTATATCTTAACTGTTACCAAAAAAAAAAAAAAAACCTCTGATGCATGGCAGCTCCTTAAAAATATCAAGTTTATATTAAGGAAATATCACTTCACATACAACACAAGCTATTCTAAAGTTTTCTATTTTCAACTCTCAGTTCACATTCAGGAGTAACAGTGGTACCTTTGTTGGAGAGAGTGGATGATCAAGCTCTGTCAAGCATCACTTGTGGTGTGGGGCGGCTCTGCACTGTGCAATATTGTGGGGCAGAAAGCCAGGGACCTGCACACCACAGGGGTTCCTGCTTCTCCAGGTGGGAGTTCAGTCTTGGTGCTGCTGCCTGCTAGGTGAGGGTGCAGGCAGCAAAGGCCACTCATCAGCCAGGCAGTGTCTTGGCTAAGTGTGTTCTAAGGAGAAGTGGCAGGAATGCTTGGCACTAACCTCAGTGCTTAGAGGAAGACTGTTTACAGAACACTTTAGAGAGGGTTACAGACCACTGATGTGGAAATGTGAGCATATTGAAGTTTTGCCCTAAGACTGCTTAGCAAGTCCCTCAGTATCTCTACAAGCATGACTGGGCAAAGTAGAGAAAGAAAAGCCAAGTACTTTACCTAAACCTACTTTATTTCTTTGGCTGTGAGAAACAGATCAGCTAAGATACGCTTTGAAACTAGTCTTTCTGGAGTGGCTATCCCTTTGACAGGCATCCAGTGTGGATGGGCTAATCCCCAGTTCCCAGAGCTGTCCTGATTTCTGTGGCACTGGCTTTGGGAGGCAGTGGGGGCCTCTCAGTGGGTCAGCTCTTGGATTTGTCTTGCCGTTGATGTATAGCATAAACCCAAACAGCCCACCAGTCTCTGACTTTTCTGCAATCTAGGACATGTGTTTTTGATCCCCAACTTAAATGAAATACAATAAACAAGACCACAAGTGTTATCTCCCAGTTAGTTTCTTCAGCCACAGGCAAGCACAGCCCTTGGTCCCAGCAGTAGCATGCACTGCAACCCTGCAGGTCCCTGTGTAACCCAATAGGGCAGTGGCTGGGGTAGGAGCTCAGTGCTTCTCCAAGGATCCCCTCTTCTGGAAGACAGGCCCCTCAGCCCAGCATGGAACCCCAGCAGTAGCCTGTTCATACTAATAAATTCTGGACCATGAGCAAAGGACGGGTAAGGTTCCAGATTGCTGATATGTTCAACCTGCCACCTCCTGCATGAGCTATGACTTGTAGACTAAGAAGGCATCACCTGATTTGTTTATTTTGCTCCAAAAAGGTTTAACATTAACACATTGTTTAACAACACCAAGCAATTCCAGACTCTTCCCCAGGCAAAGTCATTCCTTAAATCCACATTTCTCAAGCTGTTTTCCAGAGATTCAAAATATTTGAAATGTTTTAAGTGCTTTATTTGTCCATTTTCATGCTGCTGATAAAGACATACCTGAGACTGGGTGATTTACGAAAGAAAGAGGTGTAATAGACTTACAGTTCCATGTGGCTCGGGAAACCTCACAATCATGGCAGAAGGCAAGGAGGAGCAAGTCACATCTTACATGGAGGGCAGCAGGCATAAAGATCCTGTGCAGAGAAACTCCCCTTTTTGAAACCATCAGATCTTGTGAAACTTATTCACCATCACGAGAACAACATGAGAAAGACCTGCCACCATGATTCAACCACCTTCCACCCGATTCCTCCCATAACACGTGGGAATTCCGGTGAAATGTGGGTGGGGACCCAGGCAAACCACATAATTCCACCCCTGACCTCTCCCATATCTCATGTCCTCACATTTCAAAACCAATCATGCCTTCCTAACAGTCTCCCAAAGTCTTAACTTATTTTAGCATTAACTCAAAAGTCCATAGTCCAAAGTCTCATCTGAGATAAGGCAAATCTGAGCCTATAAGCCTGTAAAATTGAAAGTGAGTTATTTCTCAAATACAATAGGGGTACAGGCATTGGGTAACTATACCCATTTCAAATGGGAGAAATTGGCTAAAACAAGGGGCTACAGGCTGCATGCAAGTCCGAAATCCAGAAGGGCAGTCAAATCTTAAAGCTCCAAAATGATCTATTTTGACCCCATGTCTCACATCCAGGTCACGCTGATATGAAAGGTGGCTTCCCATGGTCTTGCACAGCTCCACTCCTGTGGCTTTGCACGGTACAGCCTCTCTCCCAGCTGCTTTCATGGACTGGCATTGAGAGTCTGTGGCTTTTCCAGGTGCACGGTGCAAGCTGTTGGTGGATCTACCATTTTGGGGTCTGGAGGACAATGGCCCTCTTAGCACAGTTCCACCAGGCAGTACCCTAGTGGGGACTCTGTGGGGGCTCTGATCCCACATTTCCCTTTTGCACTGCCCTAGCAGAGGTTCTGCATGAAGACCCCACCTCTGCAGCAAACTTATGCCTGGGCATGTAAGCATTTCTGTACATCCTCTGAAATCTAGGTGGAGGTTCCCAAACCTTAGTTCTTGCCTTCTGCACACCTGCAGGACCAACACAACATGGAATCTGCCAAGGTTTGGGACTTGCACCCTCTGAAGCCATGGCCTGAGCTCTTTGTTGGCCCTTTCTGCCACAACTAGAGTGGCTAGGACACAAGGCACCAAGTTCCTAGGCTGCACACAGCATGGGGACCCTAGGCCCGGCCTGTGAAACCATTTTTTCTTCCTAGGCCTCCAGCCCTGTGATGGGAGAGGCTGCTGTGAAGACCTCTGAAATGCCCTGGAGACACTTTCCCCATTGTCTTGGGGATTAACATTTGGCTTCTCATTACTTATGCAAATTTCTGCAGCTGGCTTGAATTTCTCCTCAGAAAATGGGATTTGCTGTTCTAGTGCATTGTCAG